AATACCAGTAGCTTCTAAGAAGTTTCGCACTATTGCTGCGGTGTGTGGTCGGGCATTATCCTGCATCAATATAAAATTATTGCCCACTAACTCTGCATAAGGTAAGACATACTGCTCTAAAATGACAATGTGAATTTGGGCATTCATCGACTGCCTCACCGGAAAAAAAACATGAAGGGGTGTCTTTCCATTCATTGAAATCCCTCTCCACACCATAACGGACCCACCATTAAAACTTTCGCATTCTGTTATTAAATTTTGATTAAACCGTTCACCAGTTCTTCTCCACACTCTTTTTCTTCCATCCACCATGTTAAGGCAAAACCTTGACTCATCCGTAAACAAGACATTCGACCGTTCAGGAATATTCCACTGTCCATAATTTTCAACAAAATTTCTTCTAGCAGCACGATGTTCGGGCAATAATTTGGGACCTTTTGCAGGTCTCCTAGCTTTTAAATTAACTTCTCTTAGACGTCTACATATACCGTCTGCTTACTTACTGCAACATCACGAATTTGGCGAAGATCTGGCTGACCATTCACCGCAGTATTTGATCGATTCCGTAAAATCCGCAATCTCAAGAAGCGATCATCTCTTGGAGAAGTTTTTCGGGGGCGACCAGAACCGACCCTCCGAGCGGTGCTTCCTGTTTGTTCGTACTTGCGGATTGCTCTACGAGCAGTTGCTTCATGAACTCCCACTGCACGAGCGGCGTAATGTTTACTAACGTCTATCGTTTACTAACGCAACTAATCTTGCTACTTGTTCAGGATTTTTTTGAGGCATTTTATGTAATTTCAGTCAATAAAACAAGACACTCAATTAATGACACAACGACAATTAAATGGTCAAATATGGAGGCATACAACAAATTAGTTGCTATGGCAACGGCATTTGTTTTTTAAAGACAATGTGATCCTACCAGAGTACAACCCAATCGATTTTGAGTACTCTGATCCTTCAATAAATTCAATTTGTGGGATAAGCGTAAGGTATCAGCAAAAAAGCTGTAATTCAGAAAATTTTAGAGATAAATCAATGAATAAAAAAACAAAATGCTCGCAAAAGAAGCCTCTTTCGTATAGGGTGTAAGCACTTTGTATACCATTACTTAATTAACACACAGGGTGAGTCAAAAATTAAGAATAAATCATGGTTCGAGTTATTCCACCACCATCAAGGAGGCTTTGAAAAAATGTTCACATCTTTATTTTTTTTTTCAAAGACAAATGCATTACCTACCAACAAATAAAAAAATTAAAAATCGGCCTACTATTTTTTTTTTTAAGAACTGAGTGTAGATGGCTATAATATTTCCCCAAGGGGGCTTTTCTGGGCTCATTTTTAAATCCACTTTTCTTACTATTTCTGTTCCTAGAATCTATGGTTGATATTTTGTGATATGTGATTTCGAAACACCCTGTATATCTTTCGAATGGCTCGACATATTTTTGACGCCAGGATACCATTTTGAATGAAAAAATCGAATCAAATTTTCCATAGGTTGGTGAAGTTTTAGAGAGAAATATTCATTCAAAACACAATGACAATCCATATATGAATACAGGCTGTCCCATTTTCGATGTCATTCCAGGATATCTCCGTTATTATCAAAGATAGAGATTTGTGGTTTTTGCGAATGTTGGCTACTTCTTTGTGAAACTCACGATACCGCAGACAGAATTTTCATAGCCTGCTTATCGTTTTTGAGATCCAGAGTGAAATTGAAAATGTTGCATTTTGGTAGGTATCCCCCCAGAATCTCAGTTATCTTTTCATCTTATATGAAAAGTAGGAACTGTTACTTCTACATTTTCTTACGTGAAATCCATCAGTGGCGTCATCATATTTTCAAAATAAGCTGTTATTATTTTGATATATAACTAAAAGTTATGTTTTTTAAATATAGAATAACACGTGTACCCTGTATATTTTTTCATATTTCTATTATTCATGCTTCGCACTTCCCAAAAATTATACCTATAACACCTACACGATATTTTGAGTATTAGCTTCGAATTTAGATTATTTGAATTTTTTTACTATATATATATTTCTTATCGATCTGCCTTGTAAATCTGTTGCAATATTTTTCATGTCATGAATTTTCATATTAATCCTCTGTCTCACTGTTTCCTCATACACTAGTTTAAATTTTACCAACAGTCATTGTTCACCAATATTCAGCACTATTTATTGACTATAAAAGCTGTGGACCTAATTAGTAGATAGCTATGAAAAAAAAACAGAATATATTTATACTTGCCACCTGTTTACAAATTTGTCATCCAATTGCGAATTATAATCCAGGATTATGAAAACTGTACGGAAATTTAGAAACCAACTCATATCCCAACCATACAGGGTGTTTCATAGGTAAAGGGAAATATTTCAATGGTAGATAGGGGTCACCAAGGTGGTTCTGAAAATACCATATTTGATAGGTCTTAGAGTTTTCATAACGGAGATACAGGGTGATTTATCGATTTCGAATAATTATTCATTCGTCTATAAGTATTGAACTACCCAGTATATTTTTCTAAAATTTGGTATGGAGCTTAAACTTGGTACGTTGAATTCATTCACCTATCGGGCGAAGAGAAAATCCAGGTTCGGCTTCAGGAAAAATTCACATTTATTCGAAATATTAAAATAACACACTGTATGTAATAATTGACAGAGTTCATCAAAGGAATCGTGAAGAGGAGGAAAAACTGAACTGGATTTGATGCTTTTTGTTTTCCCGCCACCGATTCTCATCATAACAATCATAAACAGAAAGCTGAAAGTATGTCAATTTGAAGAGTATTGAAATTATGAAACCAGAGTCAATTATGATTATTCGATATATTTTAGTCAAAAAATCGCTCGAAAGAACTTACTTAGTCTCACAATTTTTATAACGGAGATACAGGGTGAATTATCGGTTTTGAATAATTATTCACCTGTCCATAAGTATAAAACTACCCAGTAACACTGTCTCAAATATGGTATGTAGCTTACTTGGGACGATGGATTCATTAACCTATCAGGCGGAATTATAATTCGAGAATTCACCCTGTATCTCTGTTATAAAGACTATGAGACTTTTCCTGAAGCTGAAACTGTATTTTCATTCTGCCTGATAGGTCAATGAATCCATCGTCCCAAGTAAGCTCAATACCAAATTTGAGAAAATATTACTTACTCTGTTATAAAGACTGTGTGAGACTGAATTGATAATTGAAAGTGGTTTCATAATTTCAATACTCTTCAAATTGACGTACTTTTAGCTTCCTGTTTATGATTGTTACGATGAGAATTGGTGGCAGGAAAACAAAAAGCATCAAATCCAGTTCAGTTTTTCCTCCTCTTCACGATTCCTTTGATGAACTTTGTCAATTATTACATACAGTGTGTTATTTTAATATTTCGAATAAATGTAAATTTTTCCTGAAGCCGAACCTGGATTTTCACTCCGCCCGATAAGTGAATGAATTCAACGTCCCAAGTTTAGGCTCAATACTAAATTTTAGAAAAATATACTGGGTAGTTCAATACTTATAGACGAATGAATAATTATTCAAAATCGATAAATCGCCCTGTATCTCCGATATGAAAACTCTAAGACCTATCAAATATGGTATTTTCAGAACCACCTTGGTGACCCCTATCTACCATTGAGATAATTCCCTTTACCTGTGAAACACCCTGTATATATAATCTTTCGTAGTTTTGATATCCTGGATCGCCATTTTGAAATTTCCATATGTCAATTTTGCTCTATAATATAGTATTCATACATAAATTTCATCATCCCAAGTGTCTATGGTATTATTCCATACATTAAAACCATTATCTCGAATCATCTGAGGTTAGTATCAACAATATCAGCGTTGTCTATCGAAATTCTGAATGGAAATACGTATAATCACTTTTTTCTGTTCAAACAAAAATTCCTCTGAATCGTTGATGTAAAAAATTTGTATATTCCTAAATGGGGATCTGTATAATTATATATAATTGTGTATAATTTGGGTCGGCGCCATGAATAGAATGGTAAACAGTTCGTGGCAACACTGTCATCTGGCGCGAATTCATAGTCAGCTAGCTACCACTACCAAGATAGTGACAGTCAGTGCAAGTGCAATACACAGATTCTGGGCCTTTGGAGTCTGAGAAGCCCCACCTGTGTAACAAATACATTTTATTTCAAGAGATGCATGTATATTCTCATAAGAAAAGTCATATTGTTTTTGTTTTCCATAAACCTACTAATCCTACTATATGCTACTTTTCTAGCTGATAACTTCAACATTTGCATAATTAGTTTCACATGGAATCTTACAGAATTGAGAGTTATTGTATATTTTCCCAACAGTTTCCAAAGTTATTACGTTTTTTCCCGTGAAAATTACGCCAAGTATATGTCTTTGATGATATCACATGAGTAAAACCATAGATCTAATTACACAATTAGATCTATGGTAAAACTTATTATAAAAATTTTCTGTCAGTAATTATAAATGAATTGAATAATTTAATCTGAAAACTCATTTCACATACAAATCAGAAAAAATTCCTGATGTTTTTTTTCTCGTGTTTCTAAATATGGGGTATATCAGACCCCACCTGGGTGATATTGTACTGTACTGGTACTGTCGCAATATTTTCCCGCTATGGTGATGGTTCTATGGCTAGACTCGAACACCGCGCAACAGGGTACAGGGTAGCCATAATGATGGAAGTGAGATATGGTGCGCGCATTCGGCCATTATTACATGTTGAAAATTTCAGAAAAATCACTCGATCGTCTACTATGATTTCTCTACGTCACAACAACTCTCAATGCGACAATTCCAAAACTGACAGATGTTATAATTGTGCAATGTCGCCATCTATTAGAAGATCGACGGAACCATTGCTCTCGCTGTTCCTGAGAGGTCGAGTAAAATTTCTGAAACAAAAGCGCATCACTAATTAAACTATATCTTACTTCCATCTTTGTAGCCATGCATCAAGGATGGAGAGAAGATGGTGAAAACACTGATAGTGTTTTGTTTCGACCAAAACGCTTACGCCATTGTCATTGAAAATGGCATAATAGTTCTCACTTCTACGGTAAGATGGCAAATTTCTTACAGATTTCTGTAATATCAACCTTACTTCTTGACAATTGTCAGTGTCACTCAGAGTGTATTTAAAATATTTAAATTCAAAATTCCAATTTCCCAGTGTTTTTCAAATCCCAGTTTCCAGTGTGTTTTCCGTGTGTTTAATTTCGATTTTTGTTATCCAGTTGATATTTTCCTCTTGTTTCCTCAGTTTCAGTTCGTAGTGTTGTTTTTTGTGTTGTGTTGTTCAAAAGATTTTCTGATGGCGGAGAAACGAAAAACTCGTAAGTGTGTGATTTGCGGCAATGAAAATGACTCTTCTACACATTTGTATGCAGTTCCAAAGGTGAGTTAGCATGAAAAGTAATAAAGTAGGTACGGAAGTACAACTTTCCATTTTGTAAAGTAGGTAGTTACAGGTTGAGGTGTCGTATTTATAGTGAGTTGAATGCAGTGGTAGAATCGGGTAGAATAATAATATGAACATAATCAGAACTTCAGTCTCTCTTGGCCTGTGTGGAGTTTAATTTTTTTATAAATATCCACTTAGGTACATACTTCAATAAACTTACACAAGTAATGTGTAACATATGACCCCATCAGTAGTGTTTTTTTTCAGCAAAATTTCTTCCATTCGCGTTCCAATGGTTGAAGTATACTCCTACCTTTCTAGTATATGTACAACTCTTCTTCAGAAAGGTGTGCCTAATGAAAATGTAGGACACCTTTCCTAAAAAGTTCATTGAAAAGGGATTAAATAATTTGTTGATTGAAATACTTCAAATTGAAACTTGATTCATCATTCCAATCAGTGAAATGGATTTTCAGTAACCATAATTAAGAAAATGTCATTATAAATGTACCCTCTATGAAAACGGCAACAAATGAAAGGGGTAAAAAATTCGAGTCCAAGCAGTTATTTGCAGAATATATTATTTAGATTTTTTTGTAAGTTTCGATGAAATTTTGAGTTGAGAACTATGTTTTTTTCTATTAATGATTATTATGATATAGCTACCTAATTGACTTAATAGATATTTCTAATACTCAGAAACCTTTTTGGCACAATAACCACAGTGCAGAATCCCAGTGCATTCAACAAATATTTTTTCCTCCACATGTTTTGCTGTGTCAATTTCACAATATTGAAATTGAGAGTTAAAATGATCAGTTTGCTTAGTGGTAATACATGAAAGCCTTCATGATTAATTTAGACAAAACTGATGTTTTTCAGGAGGATTGTCGTCTTTTGGAATGGGTAATTGCTTGTGGCCAGCTTTTGCCTCCAAAATCTTTTGTCTGCTCCAGACATTTTCCAATCAGTAAGAGCAAAAAATTGAAAAAAGGAGATGTACCATCAGTTCGGCAAGTAACTCAATATGTATCATATTATAGGTATTAATTATTACTATAAAGGCATTCACTGTGTCTTTTGATATGACAAGGCCTTCTCTAACCAACAACAATTTTAATCATACACTGGAGATTAGAATCAAGATTTTATCCTTATAAGGGCAGAAGTACATTTTTACCCAAAACTTTGCTCTGGTCAAGGAACCTGAAGAAATAATCAAACTCTCAGTCAGAAAAACAATAAATAATAGGTGTATGATTTTAATGTATAAAAGTTTTTCAGAATTTTACCTGTACAAGTCCACATCAGTAGTGAATGAAAAATTAGGAAGGCACATGATTCTCAGTAATGTCCCAATAGTTGGAAAATAAATATAATTTTCTTGTAACAATTAGTAAATGACTAAATTCATTTAGAAACTTCTCTAAGATAAAAGTGATGATCATGATTGCACCTCAAATATAAGTTAGAGATTCTTTACATGTTCTTCAGCTAGGAAAGTAGTTTTCAATTGAAATTATAAAAAAAAATCTTTTCATTAGGATTTAAGATGTAAAACTTTTATTCAGGCAGGAAAAAAAAACACTAATGGAAAGACATACATATACTATGTTATTATTTGGTTAGAATGTACCTTCATAAGTATATAAAAAATAATACAATAACTACAATGAAATAATTTATATAGTCATCACAGTCAAATTAACAATAATTACATTATTATTATAGTTATTGTTCTCCATTGTGATTTATATCATTGCTTAACAATCATCCTCCAAATACATATAACATGAAAAAGTGTATGAATAATTCAGGAATAATATGGAATTAGATCAGAATTTTGTCACCATATGTATCACTAATCAGAAACATTTTATAGTAACAGAATAGTAGAATTATGGCTATTTGCTTCCTAATATTTTTATAATTTGGTTATTTAGCGTTCAAATAAAGATGTAGTTATTGACATTGAATATTAATTTTCCAGTCCTGAAGATGATACAATTCCAATTTCAATGAGTCCTACCCAAGATCCTGCTCTAACTGAAATTGACTGCTCCACTAATGAAGAATCCCAAGAATCCTTTGCCATATCCCTCCATTCTCCTATTCCTCAACTTATCCAACCTATGGATATTGTAAATAATGATGAATTTGGAAGTTTATTCAAAATCTTATCAACTGTTGGAAGTTCCTTTAATTTGCCTATCACTTGGGGAGTTCATGAATTAGTAGGCTATATTGTTCTGCTGAAAATAAATATTCAGCAGGATGACATGTTGGCAATTATAGATCGTTCAATAATTATAAGAGATGATACAATTATAGCCCGGGTCAAGAATAAATCAATAGAATTGACCAACATTATCAAAACAACAGATGATTTAGAAAATTATATTAAAGATTTTGATAAGGCAAAAATATGCCCAGGTAATAGTAAATCCTGTTCCGTTGTTCTTTTGGGAAACTTGGCCTTATGCAACACATGTAGAGGTTATAAACATTATCATTCGAAGAGGGACCACAAGAAACAACAGTCTGTTATTGTTAAAAAACACAAAAAGAGGCGCCTTCAGTACATTAGTACAAGGAATCAACACCTCAAGAATGTGATCAACAATTTGAAGGGTCAAAAAATCGATACAATCAAGATTGATCATTTCCTGAAAGATTTACCTGAGATTCAACAAGAAATGATAAGGGCTTGCTGTAAAGCAGCTACTTCACGGAAAAATGGCATAAGATACACACTGGAGTGGGTGTACTCCTGCATTTTGATGAAAATTAAGGGGCCTAAATTGTATCATCACATGAGGGAAAATAATTTGCTGTCTCTGCCATCTCCAAGTACTTTGTCCAGGTAAGCTGATATGAGATTATTCAAAACTTATAAATATATAAAAACTGAACAAGCAATTATACAACAAAAGAATATATACAAAAAAGAAAATATACAGAAACGTATACTAGGGCAACTTAATAAATTGAAAATAATGATATTCTCAATAAATATTAGAAACTGAAATCAAGAACAATAAATCTAAAAAAAAAAACAATAATATAAGTAAACAAAAACGCAATCCCATAGTGCTTTAAATCTAAAAAAAAATCAAAATTAATACTATAACTAAAACGAGATTATTCAAAACTTATAAAAATATAAAAACTGAACAAGCAATTATACAACAAAAGAATATATACAAAAAAGAATATATACAGAAACGTAATACTAGGGCAACTTAATAAATTGAAAATAATGATATTCTCAATCAATATTAGAAACTGAAATCAAGAACAAAAAATCTAAAAAAAAAAACAATAATATAGGTAAACAAAAACGCAATCCCATAGTGCTTTAAATCTAAAAAAAAAATCAAAATTAATACTAAAACTAAAACGAGATTATTCAAAACTTATAAAAATATAAAAACTGAACAAGCAATTATACAACAAAAGAATATATACAAAAAAGAAAATATACAGAAACGTATACTAGGGCAACTTAATAAATTGAAAATAATGATATTCTCAAATAATATTAGAAACTGAAATCAAGAACAATGAATCTAAAAAAAAAACAATAATATAGGTAAACAAAAACGCAATCCCATAGTGCTTTAAATCTAAAAAAAAAATCAAAATTAATACTAAAACTAAAACGAGATTATTCAAAACTTATAAAAATATAAAAACTGAACAAGCAATTATACAACAAAAGAATATATACAAAAAAGAATATATACAGAAACGTAATACTAGGGCAACTTAATAAATTGAAAATAATGATATTCTCAATCAATATTAGAAACTGAAATCAAGAACAATAAATCTAAAAAAAAAAACAATAATATAGGTAAACAAAAACGCAATCCCATAGTGCTAAAAAAAATCAAAATTAATACTAAAACTAAAATTGAAATTAATGTTCATACCGGGTGTCCCAGAACTTTTGGGCCAGCATATATCTGGGTGATCAATCTAACACACAAACAATTTATTTAAAATGTGGAAATTATGGCAGCCAAAGCTCTTCAAAATGGTGATATCAAATTACCCTTGTGTGAAACAGTCAATAAATTCATTGAGAATACCCTGTTATATGCTACAAAGAACATTGAATTACATCTATTGATGAATTTTCTATAACCCTGAAACACGTCGATTTTTGTTTTTGAAAAGACACTCGGTGACGTAGTAAAAAAAATCCCCCCTCCCTCACCCCCTCAACGTGACAACGACCCCTTCCTCCATTTTTTGAAATGAAATAGTGTTGAGTGATACCTCATTTGACATGAATGAAATTTAAAAAATTATATGGCTCTAGAGACAATTGAAAATACTACAAAACCCCCTATATCATGTTAAAAAAGGGCGGTGGTTGTCACATTGAGGGGGGTGAAGGAGGATGATGTTATTAATGTTGCAGAGTGTCTTTTTGAAAACATGAATTGAAACGTTTCAGGGTTTTTCCTGAAAATGGTTAATAATGTATAAAAATAATATATCTCTTACACTGTATTCATAATATTAATTCCAAAAAAACGATATAAGAGGAAATGAAACCTTCCAAATAAAATCTAAATGCAAATATATAAAGCCAAAATAACACTGCATTTTGAATAGCAACATAAAATAATACTGATAACAAAACTAAGTACTATGTTCACAAATTGGAACTCATCAATTCGAAATTATAAAAGAACTCAAACAATGTGGTCTAATAATTGTGAATTATCCAATAGAAAATTATATTTTTTATGTGGATTGCATTTTTCCTTCCCTTCTTTCATTGTCCAAGATTGAAATGTTATCCTTACTAAGAATAAAATAACTATATGATTCAATGGCGGTTCTAGAAATTAAGGATGGGGGTGGGGGGGGGGGGAGAAGCACACCATCATTAGGCGACGAGTATTCGGTAAAAAATGCACAGGTCGGTGCTTTTGGGTTGAAAAAGAGGCGCTAGGAATTGGAATATTTTGACAGTGGGCAGGGGGGCATACTGCCCCTTCTGCCCCACCCGCGTGGCGCCGCCACTGAAATGATTCTACATTGAAATATATCTGTTTCTCGAGAATCCTATTTATTATTTTCAAACTGAAAATTTCTGTTTGTTGTGGGTTCATTTATAATTCCTTTGAAAATTGATGAATTTTCAGTTTTATTGTGGAATTTCAAGAATAAATCAACTTTAGGGTAGAGTGTCCATTTATGTTCAACAGTATTTATGATTTCCCTATAATTTTCAGTGAACTTTTAAATAAATTCAATGGGCTTTTCCAAGGAAACAGTTCCTCAGAAACCCAGATATTTCAATGTAGAACCTCATAACTTTCTTTTTTTCATTAAAAAAAAATCAACTTTGGACAATGAAAAGCAGGGAAATATAAATTGCAGAATCCTCTTCATTGGCAAAGATATATTTATATTTGGGTTATTCATAAAAAATATCTCTAGGTATATACGTAATATAGATGGAGGCTTTGGATTTAAAAAAGAGATATTTGAACTGATCAAAGAAAAATCGAAACATCTGGAAGAGTGGCAGAGGCACGGATGTTTACTCATCGACGAGTGTAAAATCACACCTACAAAAAAATTCGATAAGAACACCATGGACTTCGTTGGATTTGTCAATCTTGGAGATTATACCCCAGAAAAATTTGATGACACAATAGGGGATCATGCACTGGTCATTATGTTTCAACCATTTGCTGGACACAATCTTCAAGCATTGGCATGTTTCCTGTCTAAAGGGAACATTAGTGGGGACATTCAAGCCAAATTAATTTTAGAATGTGTCATTCTGTGTGAGAATGCTGGTCTCTACATTGATGTTGTAACCAGTGACGGTGCAACCTGGAATAGGACAATGTGGAAACATCTAGGGATTCAGGACTCCATGGAACCGTGGTGTGAGCACCCAATGGACAGCCAAAGGAAACTTCGCATGTGCTCTGATTTCCCACACCTCATCAAGTGTGTGCGAAATAATTTAGAAAAGAGGAAAACTTTTCAAGTAATAATATAGATTTGAAATGAATACATGCTGTCAACTATATATTTTGTAGATACCTGAAGGTTTAGTTTTGCATGCACATTTCAAACAATTGGTAGATTATGAATCTTCCAAACAATTCAAAATGGCATTTAAATTAACACCTAGTCATATCCATCCCAACTGCGGTGAAAAAATGTGCACAAGACTTGCATTTCAGGTAAGTAAGAATATACTAGGCAGTCCAACTGAAGGGGTGCACCAGAAAATCTAGTCAACAAAATACATAAAAAAGATCAAAGGTTTTTGAGAGATACACCTATATACACATACACAACCTTTCTGTTGGGTCCGAGGGGTAAATCACCTGGGAAGTTTTGGTGTACAGACACGAGGAAGTTCGAGGAAGTTTGGGGGAAGTTCGAGGAAGTTTGGGGGAAGTTCGAGGAAGTTTGGGAAGTTTGAGAAAGTTTGGGGAAGTTTGTGGAAATTGAGGAAGTTCGAGGAAGTTTAGGAAGTTCGGGGAAGTTAGAGAAAGTTCGGGGAAGTTCGAGGAAGTTTGGGAAGTTTTGACCCATGGGAAGTTTGGTGTACAATTTTTTTCGCCGTGATTTACCCCTCGGTTGGGTCCTTTAGCATAATGTTATATTATGAATGATATTAAACTAAAGTCACAGTGGAAATATAACCTACATCTACAAAAAATTGTAGGGGCTGGTAAGGAAAGGGTGACAATTTACAGTCTATACTTTTTTTAGTTATTTAGCAAAACAACAGCTCTGGCATTGAAAGCTTACCAAGTCAAAATTAGTGCATTTCACAATGTAGATGCAACTGTGGCATTTTGTGAAAGGATGAACAAAATCATTGACATAATGAATTCCTCATCAAATTTCTCAGGACTGAGATATGGTTCTGAAGAATACAAGGTGAATATATTATACAAATACATTAGAGGAAATGGACATTCAGTTTGAATCCCTGAAATTTCAAAAATAAATGATTTTCATTACAAATTATGCTCATGTGAATTTCTGTTCAATAGATTTTAGTGAAAAATACAAAATTACACAAAAAAGTTTTTAAACACTGCATGGTATGCATCATTACCATTTTGAAGAAGTTTTTATCAATTCTTGACATAACATATTCAAGAAGGCGATGAAAGATCCATCTTTGAAGGAGTCACTAGATTTTTTAACAGCCTCGTTAGTCGATGTTTTCTGTACCATTTTTTTGTGGTTGAGCAAACAAACAATTTCTTATCCAAATTGAAAACTATTTTCTTTTCTGACTCAACATCAGCACACCTGAAAAATCAAATATTCATTAATTTTGTATACAATATTTTGAATATTTGTTGAGGTTTAGGACATATTGCATAAGGATTTTGGTAATTTTAGAATGAAGATGAACATTGCATGCAAAAATAAAGATGAAAAATGATTAAGAAAAAAGTGATTTTACATTTTCCATATCCAAGATAAATAACGATTCTAATATTGCTTGATCAAGTTTTCAATATCGCACAGTCCTAGTTTCCACACTGTATATGGTAACAATGTTCGAATTTTGATATTCCATCAATTGAACTGTGATATATACAGTGTGTCCATTTAGTGCATAATTCTTCCATATCTCGAAAGCCATAACCTATAGAGTTACTCATTTCAAAAATATTTTAAACATTACTGGGTGTTTCATTAAAGCGGGACAACTCGAAGGAGAGTTTTTTTAAATGGAACACCCAGTATTGTTCATTGGGAATTAATTCCGCTGAGGTTCACCTTCACATCGCTGTAAAAAAAATTGAAATCGGTTGCGGCGTTGTCAAGTTATGGATAATTTCCTTATTTTTACTACTAT